TTACTTTACTTTACTTTACTTTACTTTACTTTACTTTACTTTACTTTACTTTACTTTTATCCGCCGCTTATACCCTTTCAGGTGTCGCGGGAACAAAGAGTCGTCTTTCTGTCGCCAGCCGGAGAGCTTGGGTCAGGGGGATGCCGTGGGTGGTTAATGTTTCCCTGACTCCATCTATTCAGGTCTTTCTCGGTCGCCCTCTAGCCTTGTTGCCATCAGGGGCGGTTTGTTAACTGGGCGGTGCCGGTCAAATTTTTGTCAGCCGGACTGTTGACAGATTTCTTGCTGATGATGATTTTCATTCAGTTTTAAGTAAATCCGAATAAACATGTATCAACATTCAAAAAGCTTCTTGCCGATTTGAAGGCTTTCAAATAGACAAATGGGACTCACTGCTGTTTTGTCGCGACAGAGCCTCATTCCTTCACCTTTGTTTATCGCTCCGGCTCGTAACTTTAAATCGTCTCCCGTCAAGCTGTCACGTCGCTGAACTTCGTACGAGGACAAACGAACACAGCGGGTACAGCGATGACGTCAGTCCGCTGGGCAAATCCATCGACTGCCCTAAGAGCGAATATAGCATCCCTGGATTGCCAAACTGGCCTCCGTGTTGCTTACAAAATCAGTAATGAGACTGTCTTGAGTCTTGAGCAGCATAGACACATGAAATATTTTATCAGCAATACATGTACTTATCATTCAGCCTTTCTCTAACTATCATCAGAACATTTATTGTCAGCATGGCACTAATCTTTTTTGTTTATTGAATTTTTAGCCACCTATAGTTCCTGTTTGGTGAATATTTATCGCTTTCTCCCCACAAATAACGTACCTGGCCCATATGAGTCTGGCCGGCGAAAAGAAGAATCATCTAGTGAAGATATATAAGGAGAATTATAAAGAGGAGCGATAGGCACTCGGCTGTCAGAGTCTGGGCCTACCCCTTCCTTTCCCTCCCCTTATCCACCGTAACTCCAGCTAGACACCTAGTTCTATAATTAGAATTTGACACACTTCCCCACTTTGTTACAACAGTGTTCTGAGAACTGGGAAGTGTGATGAAAAACGTTTGATTACATAATGATGGAAAACTCTTGTGTGCTAACTTTGTCCAGCTTTGTAAAGTATCTGATTGTAGACTTAATCTGCATGGGACAGCGTCATAGGTACAGTATCAATTGACTTTTTGCCATCATACAGTACTGTTCTTATTATATATTTACAGGTCGAGTGCACGTCGATATTGTGTATGGGTGTGTAGAAAGTAAAAGTCTTTGGTTAAAGTACCGGAGGCCATGACCAGCAGTTTATTGCGCTTCTCACTTTCACTTTCAGTTTGTTTTCTAGCATAGACTCTAGTAGTGTTTCTTTTTCACGTTATATTAAAATGTTAAAGTGGTGTGTGTGTGAGTGGGGGAGGGGGTGGGGATGGCGAAAGTAGGGGTATAAAATGAG